TGGGTTCAATCCCAGTCGGCGCCGCCGGGATGTTCTGAGGCATAACATCTCTGATCACGCCTTCCTTCGGATGGGAAGTAAAGCCGTTGGTCCCCGGTTCATGAGTTGATGGGTCGATAGGCAGGGTCCAGGTGTGGGAGCTGCCTTCCTGGCACGTCGGTAGCATTGGTACTCAGCACGGAAAACAAGATCGACGGAAAAAACAAACCAAAGGAAAAACAAAGAGAGTAGGGGGATAGTTCCGTTAGAGTACGGCAGTATGAAAATTGGATAGAAGTTGAAAATGAGCGAAGGGCCATTAAAGCGACAGTTTACAAGATAGACGCACATTTTTGCCTAGCCCGTACGATGTACGCGGGGACTTGAAGTATGTCTCCAAGTCCACAGGCAAAAATGTGCGTCCCTCTTGTTGCTCATAAACTGACTGCGGCTGTGGAGTAGTTCTAGCGACGTTTTCATCACTACCTAAAGCCCCACGTTGGGAGAGCATTTCCAGTCGATGGTGTGTTATAATGCAGTTCTTCTTTACCCAACTATTGTGTTGCTCCTCTCGTCATGACCAACGTGATCATCTCAGAGAGAAAGCAGTGGGGTGGTTGTTGCGTGCTGTACCATCATCAGCATTGTTGACGGCTACTCCCGCCTTGAGTTGTTACATTCAAAGTGTTTTTATGTTACTTCATACGCGAAGGTAGCGATTTTCAGAGTTGGTTGGAATGGTTGTGAATGTTTCATACTGCCGTACTCTAACGGAACTATCCACTTACTCTCTTCTAAAAGATCATTCTCTAGCTAATAAATTATCACACTAAAGCTTCATGTTAGCATTTCCAACCAACCCCCCCAAATATGCTGATTAATCTCTACCTCACACAAACTGGCAAGCATCAGCTAATGTAGCATCCACCCCGACACCACTATCTGTCAGCTTATGCATAATTCAAGCCTTCGCCAACCACGATAGACTAACGATAGCCGGAAATCGATTCTTACCGTAGGACGTAAAATTCACACGTAAAATACCATTCTCGTTGGGGATCTTCAGCCATCCAAAATGTCTTGTTGATTGTTTCAACGGCTTCAACTGAAAAATGCAAAGTCAAGAGCACTTAATCGTGTGACGCTCTGAACGACAAACAGTCTCAACATCGCGGTTTCGGCAATCATTTTACGACTGTCAAGTGTCCAGCAATCTACCAAGAATGAACAATCCGAAACTGGTTAATGGGACAAAGGTCACGATTTAATGATCCTCAAAATTATGCCGGTTACTTAGTTTTGACCAATTGAAGATCGCCGTCCATAAACGTAATTGGTTATCCCAACCAAAATCAGCTGGTGAGGATATCTACACTTCTGGGAAGACTCATATTAAATACCTGTATTCAATGGGAAGAACATGTCAGCGGCACAAAAGCCGTTTGATGATGGTATCTAGATCAACAATTGAAATTGGCAAAACAAAGAAATGGCTTTAAACACAAATTTCTCGAAAATCAAAACACACCCGTAAAAACAAGCAATGCCATTCGATAAAGGAAGCTTGCTCCATCCAGATGCTGGTGTTGTATTGCTTGGATGTGTTTTGATTCTCGAGAAATTTGGATTTGAAGCCATTATTAACGTTTGCTTGTTCCGCCTATTTCAATTGTTGGTCTAGATATGATCGTTCAAGGTTACTCTTTAAAGCTCACCTTTTGAACTGTTCGGGCATTTCGAAAAATACGCAGAATCCGCTTCCATTCAAATGGACGTCCGCCGATACCGAAAGCTTCCTTCACCCTATATTGATCAGTAAACGGCCACTATCTGTCGTTGATGTCAACAAATCGTACAATCGCACATCTGGCACCGTTTTTGTTTTCCACTTGAATTCAACAAAAGAGGTGCAAGAAGAGTCCGATATTAATGTGCACGGCCAATGAGACCATAGGAACAGCCAAGCGGGGGTTGGCAGTGAGGTATGTGCAACTGCCCCCCCCCCCTATCTCAGCCGAAAATATATTTTTTTAGAGTCTAAGAATCTAGAAAAAAGATAAAATTTTAAGTTTAACTAGCCTTCGTCATTTTTTTTTTGGTATAACTTCCACATTTGTTTGAGTTTCCGAATCAGATTGAAGTTAGATTTATTATTTCAGAAAACCTTAAATTTTTTTTTATTATAGAATTCATGATTCTTGGATTTTGTTGAAGGACTGAAGATTATTATTCAGATTTTAAATTTTTTTAGATATTTTTTTCTTTAAATCCCATTTGTTACTATAATTTTTTTTTCTTCTCTTCCATGAAACTCCAATGACTCTAAAACTTTCCCAAGAATCTGACATATTGAATATTTTCTAAGTTCTTATAATTAGCTTGGTTTTCACCAGTCTGGCACTTCAAAGATTGACAATGTTGGCTAGAATTCTTAAGAAATTTTTAGCTCGAGAGATAATTTCAATGGGTTCTCAATAAATCTTAGGGAATTTTAAGGAGAACCCTCGCAACATTCTAAGAAGAATTTTAACAAAGTTCTGAGGAAAATTTTAGGAGTGTTCTGAGGAAGGTTTCAAGAAAATTATTAGAAAATTGTTCAGTTTTGTCTATTCGCTCCATGAGGCCGGTAAAGCACTCCTCGTATTTTCTCATGCTTTTAAGTGCTTTAGCTTTAAGATCTTTTGTCATCACCTTTGCATGGGTCCCATCTCATTGCTCGATTCCGGGCAATGAAAAGGCGGACTCGCTTGTAAAGGTGGGCGCTATGGAAGGCGATATTTACAATCGACAAATCGCCTACGACGGCTTTTTCTGCATTTAACGTCAACAGTCACTCGCCAGCTGGCAAAATAGAAGAAGTGAAGGGAGTTTGGGACGATGGCTATATTCAATCATCCCTAAGGTGTCGACGTATCCTTGGTTTAAAGGGTTGGATGTGGGTCAAGACTTCATTCGTGCGATGTCTCGCCTCATGTCCAATCACTATTCGCTAAGCGCTCACTTGTTCCGTGTTGGGCTGGGGGACAGTAATCTCTGTGAATGTGGACAAGGTTACCAGGACACAAATCACATTATTTGGTTATGTGCTGAGCACCGTGGAGTCAGATCTGAGCTGTATATTTAACGTCAACAGTCACTCGCCAGCTGGCAAAATAGAAGAAGTGAAAGGAGTTTGGGACGATGGCTATATTCAATCATCCCTAAGGTGTCGACGTATCCTTGGTTTAAAGGGTTGGATGTGGGTCAAGACTTCATTCGTGCGATGTCTCCCCTCATGTCCAATCACTATTCGCTAAGCGCTCACTTGTTCCGTGTTGGGCTGGGGGACAGTAATCTCTGTGAATGTGGACAAGGTTACCAGGACACAAATCACATTATTTGGTTATGTGATGAGCACCGTGGAGTCAGATCTGAGCTGTATGATTCCCTTCGGGCTCGAGGTAGACAACCTAATGTTCCAGTTCGGGATATTTTGGGTAGACGCGATCTGGAGTTTATAAAACTCATATATGTTTGTAAGTTTGATTTTGTGTTTGTTTTTTTTTTGTATATTTGTTTCTGTAATAATTGTATAATTACAGAGTTGATATAACGTCGATAGGATTAAGTACATGTTTTAGAAATAGTGAAATTTTTGAGTCATAAATCATATTTCAGATCTCCTTTTCCCTCTCCCGATTCAAACAATTTTCATCCACTAACCTCGAGAAGACCGCGAGTAATCGGTTAAATCCTTTAATTTTAGATTTAAGGCATTTATAATGTATGAAGAAAATGATAACTTGGCTCTGTAAAGTTTATTCGATTGAGCCTGTACAAATAAAGTTATTTACAAAATTACTTGTGCACACAGAGTTTAGATTACCGAAGTCGATAAAATTTAACTGAAAAACAGCTGAGTTTTCAGTAATTAGTCCAGTAGTTTTTACTTTTACTGAAAACTCCGTAGATTGCAGAATTTCTGAACTGTCAAAAATTACCGTTTAACTCAGTAAAACAATTGCTGACTTTCTGAGTAATTCATTTGCTTACATTTTTTTGCTGAGTTTTTCAGTATTTTTGTTTTAGTATTTTGATGAATAAGTTAGTGAATTCATCAAAAAAGTTCCATACGAAGGATAGGATTAAAATTTAATTTTTTTTTATTTGACTCCAATTATGAAAGTATAAAGTTGATAGTTCCCCTAGAGTACGGCAGTGTGAAATATGTATTTAGAGATTAGAGAGCGTGGACAACTTTGAGGAAGGTACGAATCGGGATAATCATTTCTACACCAGCTTGTTGGTACAGAGACCGATGAGAACACAAAGTTAACTTTTCCTATATAAACTTCAAAGGACCAGTGCTGTATGAGTTCACATCCAAATGAGCTCAAATTACCGGATTTGAAATCGGTTTTGCTTGATGGAGTAAAATAGATATTTTAAACCACTCTAATGCATATCGTGTGCACCCGAATAGAATTCCTAAGCAATTCCCACCATCATCAAAACCAATCACAAATTCCCATGCTGGTTCCAAAACAAACCAAATCTCATATGAAAATTTGCCACTATATTCTAAAGCATGTAAAATGCATGCCTCGTTTCGAATCTTCCCCAATTGTGTTTGGACAATGATTCTAGCAAACGTGCTTCAAATGTTGAATTTTAACAGAACTTAAATTATTCCAAAACAAATCCACACCTAGCAAATGAATACCGTATACCACACATTCGTGTTCAGTTTCTAACAGCTAGGTAACAAAATGACATAATGAGACCGAGCAGATTGCCAAACATCTTACAAGCGGGGCCTTTTCGTTGAATAGTGTGCTGATTGTGCTGACCTTGCTGCGCGGTATTGACAACTTTCAATACCACTAGGTACCTATGAGATAATATTATTTTCCTTTCCTGTTTGATGATGAATTTCGTTTAGCGCTATGGCACTAATATTTTGAGTAAACTGAAGCTTTGCCCAAAAAGTGAAATTAGAGCTTGGTATTTAAAGCATGTAATTTTTTCTTTCCCATGACCAGGCGATGACCCGGATTTCATCTACTTTTGGTGCCTAACTATATGGACCTACGGCCTCTTCTGGACCATTGGTGGCATTTTCGTGTTCATGGACATCACCAACAAGCCGAAATTCATGCGCAAGTACAAAAACCAACCCGGAACACACGAGCCACTGGAATGGAGCAAACTGAAGCCATTGCTAAAGACCGTTATCATCAATCAGCTGGTGTTTGGAATCCCGACGTCCTACTTATCGTACCATGGCCGGAAATGGCTTTCCATGGATCTACCAGAATTGCGACCACTCCCGTCGTTTGAGCTCATCATTCGGGACTTATTGGTGTGCATCTTGACCTGGGAAGTCACCTTCTACTACAGCCACCGACTGCTGCATGCCAACTTCTGGTACAAGTACATCCACAAGAAGCACCACGAGTGGCCGGCACCGATCGCCTGGGCCGCCATGTACGCCCATCCATTCGAGTTCATCATCAGTGATCTGCTGCCGGTGTACATTGGACCCGCTATCATGGCTTGCCATCCAGTGACGATCGCCATCTGGTTCGTGTTTGTCATGATGGACACCCTGGTTGACCATTCCGGTTATCACCTGCCAGTGCTTGGAAGCTCCGAACAGCACGATTATCATCATTTGAAGTAAGTAGCGATATATTGGCTCAAAAAACAAAAGTTTCTCCGTATCAACGTTGCTTGACAACAGAATCTGCAGAGCAGCTGAGAGCACACATCTTGATAATTTATCACTATAGTCAATATTGCAAAAACTCTTAGGGGGAAATGATTGAGGGTGTTTTCAGAAACTTTGCAGAACATGGGTACAATTTATCGCATTAAATAGGATAGCCATTTGGCCTAGTCATGTTTCATAATTATATAAAAAAAATCTATTGGTTGGTAAACTGTAGACGTCACTTGCTACTTTAAGACTATTTCTTTTTTTTTTTCAATACAATGAAACATTAATCCACGTGAGTGATTAGCTTTGTTCAATAACCCAGGCCGTACACACTCGAAGTTCTTCCTAATTACCCACGATGTTTTGACAAATATCTATCAATCCAACTTCGAGCTGGATTGAGCGGATTGAGTTGCTTGTCTGAATGAAAAAGTTTCCTTGGCCGTCTGTTTCTTCTAGTATTATATAATTCAGTGCCAACATCCCAACTAACATTTTCAGCTTTGTAAGCCAACTTTTCCAGCGTTGTGCTGTAAAGTAGCTGAAATAAAGCTTCCGATACAGCTACAAGCAGAAGCTAGCAAAATAGTTTTGGAGAGCGTTTACTCAACTTTCTCACAACCATTATTCAATTTGTCAGTCGCACTGAATAACATCAGCCAATAAACGCTAATGTCACTTCTATACACACACTAATCAACTTTCAACTTGTAGTTGCAAAACAAAGCTAACAAAGTGAATATATTACTCATTTGATGGCTTCTAAACAACCAACCACTCTTGCTGAATAACATAAACATCAAAAGTGCTTTTTCAACAACTAAACAACCTGTACTCAGCTTATAAACTGTGTTAGAGCAACTTCGGAAGCATTTTCACAGTCAACTAGGTTTATTTTTAGACGTGTGCAGTTTTACAGCTTTTACTCTGCTCTTTTATAACTAGTCGAGAAAAGTGATTCGTGTGTACTATTATAAAGCCTCTACTCAGCAATTTTGTTGTAGAAGGGAATGTTGATTTGTTTACATAAGTTCAAAGTGTTGGCGTAGCACAGTTGGTAGTGTCAAGGTTTGCCAATGAAGTCGTCTCGAGTTCGATTCCAGGTTCCGGTGCAGGGTAAATAATTTGGTGATGATTTGTAACTAATTTCGATTAATTTGATTCACAGCAAAATAAACTCAATAAATTCCTTCATAAAAAAGCGTAAACAGTATTTAACTCGGCTTCAAGAGAAAGCTGTGTAGTGATTATTGGATGACCGGGAAAAAGGTTGATGATGGCGCCTTTCAAGTTCACACACAACTAAACAGCAGGATAACAGCTGTATAGAAGCGTTAATGGATATGCAATAAGAGCTTCTCCCGACCGTTCCAACAGCCATAAGTAGCTGACTAAGTTCGCCAGATTTGGTTGTATAGAGGTTGAGTAAAGGTTCCCTCATATCGTATAACGTTTGAATACAGCTTGAGGCTGTATAAATGAAATGAGTAAAGCGTTTACATTGTGAAAATTGTTAGTTGGGATTTCAAAGGGGCGTAATTACATTTGTAACAATGGCTTTAGTCATCGATTTCTCGCGAATAAAAGCTCACTCATGAAAATTAATGAAACCAACAGATAGAGGAATATTTCCTCTACCAGCTAGCATTGATAATTTGAAGGTGAGAAATTGACTAGTAAAGTCAATTTCTACAAGAACAATTACGCCCCTTTGTAATGTTGGCACTGAATTATACCAGTCAAACGTCAAAATATTGAGCCAATTCAAGGACGAATGCACGGATGGATTCAAGTTCCCTCACTCGAGAAAAAGTGGCACAAGCTGCGGCAATGTTTACTAATCATGAACACTAAATCACAGACAAACAGACATAACTCTTAGAAGAAAATACTTAAAAAAATACCGTCAAGCGTGCACACTAGCACCCTCTATCTTGCACATTCCGAAGCATTGATTTGCAACCGAAGCATCCCTCGTCCATGCATATTTTTTTCACTCGTTGCTTTTCCCTCGGTCTGTCAACGCGTCAGCTGTGTTGAATAAAAACAAAACAAATGCAAGTCAGTGATGTCGGTTCTACGAAACATTCAGTATTGATTGAATTTATCAGATATACGGATCCGTATGGCAGAAGCTCAGTCTATTTTTAAGGATTTGTTTTGTTTGTTTTGCGTGATTTTTATTTTGCTGGAAACAAGCTTTTAATCGTGATAATGTATCCCCTTTCTTGCACCGCCCATCACTTTAATATGTACACAGCAAAAAAAATGTGTCGATCAATGTTATTCATGATGATGTATTGAACTCATTGATTGTAAAATAGGATACAATATACCAATACGCAGCATTTAGAATGTAATATTCAATGCATTCCTGGCGTTGCTGAAAATTGCGATAGCATCAGATTGCGGGATTGCTAGTGTATTATAATGCTTTGTTGATTATTCATGAGCTCTTGATTGCTGGGAACGAGGATGGGAATGCTTGTGAATATTTCAGGTTGACAAAAGATTGAACAAAGAGGTGAACGCCGATGCTTTTTCACGATTAAATCGCTGTTATGTGTTAATGTTATACTTAATTATCTTAAAGATAAATCGTTCAGCTCAAATCTTTGTAGGGGTAAGCGGTGGGACCATCATCATCACCATCAATAACTTTTATTTCTGTACCCAACAAACATTTGAAGCAGCATAAGAGCTTATTCAGGCAAAAATATGCTTCTTCAGCTAAAAAATGGCTTATTCAGCCTTTAATCAGTTTGTTGGGTATTCTTCAGATTAGTATGTAGGATGCCTTCCCAAGAAACAATGAAAGGTGATTTGTTGCGTTGCCACCTTATTTCAAGAGCTGACATCTACTAAATTGACCTGAAAACGAACTGAAACCACTGATAAGTTGAAAATGTGCTAACTTGCTTGACGATTCAGTGGCACAACCATGACATTCTATCAGATTCCGAACTGAAACCTTATTTGATTGCTAAGAAGCATACACACTAAGATTTTGTTTCCGTGTTCGGTAAATTTACCGAAATCAGAACAGCTGAACGTTTGGTAAAACTTTGACCTTCATTTTAAAGGCTATTGAATTTGAAAATAATTTCAAAACATGTTCAACCTTGTTTAAATGATCAAATCTTGTCATTTTAGTGGAGATTTAGTTTCAAAGTAGCTGAAAAGCATTTGAATTGAATTGCATAAATTTTACCGAAAAGGTCCAGCTGTTCAGATTCCAGTAAAAATTACCGAAGTCGGTGATAATTTCAAAGTGTGCAGGGAACTTCTTCGGAACTTTGTTGCGACCATGGTGCAGCCTTGCCTGAAGTTCTAGTGGTGCACCTTGGATTTTTTTTTTTTTTGAACTTTGTTACTTTTTGGAGCTTGAAGTTCCACTTGTGCTTTATTTAGCTCCTCAAGCAACCAGAAAGTTCTGTTGGTACTTTTTATGAACTTTATGGAACATGAATGTGGATTTTATCGTAGAATGCGGAACTTTTGGTTACTTGGGATGGCAGCTTCCGGTTAAAGAAAAACTGGGAAATACTGTCAAATATCCCCACAACATGGGTATTGTTGGAATCGAGGTGACGTGTAGGAACCGGATTCGGACCGGACCGGACATCCATGTATGATGCCATTTTGAAATCCAAGACGGTGACTTCCGGTTAAAGAAAACTGGGAAATAGTGTCAACCCAACATGGGTATTTTTGGAATCGGGGTGACGTGTAGGGACTGGAAATCCATGTTTGACGGCATTTTGAAATCCAAGCCGATGGCTTCCCGTTACAGAAAATCTGGGAAACACTGCCAAATACCCCACAATTTGGGGGGCCCTCTGTGCGGATCAGTTTTCAACTTTTTGTTTATACCAAAAGATGGTCCTCAACTTTGCTGAACACAGCAAATCAAGAGCTTTGTTTCGGAGTTATAAATTTTGTTCCGCTAGATTGTATTTCTGGCCTATAGTTCATTGTGCAGCGATGCCATTTCCGTAGAAAATTCTATAGATTTACGGATGTCATCACTTTTTACTAATTCAGGGATCGCTGATTTCCTCCTTTGTTGAAAATCGATTTTTAAGTGATATTTTTCAAATGTCTGAAAAATCCAGTTTGTGCACCATTAAAATGCGAATGATTTAAATAGCTGCCCATCTACGCAGCGGATGATTTTAAATACACACTTAGAAATAACTATTAACACGTGACGGAATCCATCTTTGACACAAAAGATGAGACGTAAACAAATATGTAATGTAATATTAAGTGCTCCGATACTGAAAAGTTCGTTGCTCGACGAAAAGTACGTTTGATTGAGCCGTATTTCGCGTTTGTTATGACTCAAATGTATGTCAAAATTGACGTTCGTATACGTCATTCTCAGAGCACCTAAATTTACATGTATTTTTTTTTAAGTGTGTAATCATCTTTATGTTCGACAGTTTCTCATGTTATCGAATCCACAAATGCGTGCAAATTTTATTCGGTTGGAGATCTTTTATTGGAAGTCATTTGAAACGTCCTTCACACATTATCGTAGACATCAATTTTGCATTGTTTTTTTTTTCTCTGTTCGCGACCTAACACCACTGCGACCAGTAATTTGATCTATTGTAGTATATCCCGTGTCCTTAGTTTAGTGCATGTCGTCTTACTCCATCACTATTGAGAAATGATGAAGTATTAGATTTTTTTTACAGTTGTCATTCTTGTATTTATCGCAAGGATCTGACTCTGATTGAAAGGTCCTACTCTTTATACCCTTCAGAGTGTTGAAACACCTCCCAAAGGCGCGCCCCTTTGTCAGTCAAAATTGGATTCCTTAGCAACAAAATTAAGAAATGACATTGCACTGTTAGGATGTAGTAAATTTTAAGGGCTTACGACTCAGTTCTGATACGAAAGAGTTCCGTTCTTGGAATGATGAGCGATTTTAGAAGGTCGGTGCGGATAACTT